CTGCCCCTTCCCTCCCCTGCCCTTCCCCAGCTGGGCGAATCCCGCCGCTCCCAAAGGCGCCCTGCTTTCCGACCTCCGCAAACCGCCCCAGCAGTGGCACCTGCTCCACCAGGGACATCTGCCGCGCCGCGCGCCCGGCCCCCTTCGGGGGATTCAGAGAAGCCCAGCCAGAACCGTGTTGGAGGAAGAAGGAACCTGCCTGCGGGGACGCGGGGCGGGGCAGGGCACACCACCCTCGAGCTGCCCCGAGGGGAGGAGTCGCGGAGCCAGGTGGGGTCCCGGCGAGCCCTGCGCCAGGCCCGCTGCAGGGGGCGACCTCCGCGCGTCCCTACCTGGGGCAGAGCATGGCCCGGGCCGGCGCAGGGAGACACGCCCCGCGCTGGAAGCCTGACCTTCGCCGGGGCCTTTGCTGCAGGCCCTGGGGCCTGGGCGCTGCTGGCTCCGAAGTGGCTCGTTTCAATGCGCTCTGACCTAGAGTTACAGCTGGTTTCTAGAAAGGGAACAAAAAACACGGCGTTGGGAAACAGCTGCCAAGCCCTCTCTTAACCTCGCCTGATCTCTGGGGAGTTGGCTCCAACCCCCCCACCCCACCCCAGCGTCACCCCAAAGAAACCCAGAACGGCCGCCCGCCCCGGCCTTACCCGCTCGCGGAGTCCAGGGGCCTCCCGCGTCCCAGCACCGCGCCCGGCAGGGCTGCAGGCACCGAGCGGCCCACAGGAGTTGAGCTCAGAGACTCAACAGCCAGAAGAGGAAGCGGGCAACCCGGGAACCCAAAACCTAAAGCCGAGTTGTGATTTCGGATTGCAGTGTCATTCGACCGCGGGGGAGGAGGAAACGCTGTTTCTCACCCGGCTACCCTGGCGAAAAAACGTTTCCCAAACGTTGGGTGGGTTGTTTGTGTCGTGGTGGGTAAAGGAGCTGCTACCGAGAGCCTGCAGGGGTCGTGTTAGCTGCTCTCGCCGTTGGGGCTGTTTTTGTGATGATCTTGGGCTGGACAAAGTTTGGAGTGGGCACTAGACCAGCCCTCCCAGTTGCTGTGAGGCCCTGAGCAAAGTATTTAATCCCCCGCCCTGTTTCTGGAAGATTCTGATGATGGGATTTTTTTAAAGATAGGCTCTCCCTTGAGCCGGCCAGGTGACTGGGAGGTTAAGGCTGCTGGGGCCCACATGGCTGAGTGAGCAGTTCAAGTCCTGGCCCTGGCAGATTGGAAGGAAGGTGCCAGGCACGTGTGTGTGTGTGTGTGTGTGTGTGTGTGTGTGTGGTGCCCACCCAAAATCCTAAGAGGAGAATGGAGGAAAAAGGATTGCAGTGTGGCTTATCTCCCTGGAGGGTGATTCCCCCCCCTCCTCCCCAGCACCCTAGAGCAAATTAAAATAAATTAATGAAAAATAAAATAAAGAGACTGGATCTCCCTATCTCGGGCACCCAGGCAGCCCCTGGCTTAGAGGTGGGAGTTTTGCAAGCAGCTTACAGGCACTGTGAACACTTGAATCCCATGGAACGGAAGTCCCTGTACTGGGGTGTCCAGCCGGATTTCACTGCCAGGTTGACAAGAGATTGACAGGGGACATGGTGATCAATTTGCCTGTGTGTCCCCCAGAGTTCGCTAATAGGAAGGAAATCGGGGCCTAAAAAGTGGCCGTTGGGCATGCCCGGGTCTAATGTGAACGCAGCGTGTGGTCTAACCGACTTGGTCTAGACCTGGGAGAGTTAGGAGCCAACACTGGACCAGTGTGAACGCAGCTGTTCGAAAAGCACTGTAAGGCAGGGGGAGGCGGTCCAGTAACTATGAGGAGTGGTTCCCGAAAGCTGACGTCCTCCGCGTGCTCATCCTCTCTGCTCCCTTTGCTTCACATTTAAAGAGAGTAAGCATGGGACCAGCAGTTGGCGTAATGGCTATGTCGCTGGCCTCCCACGTAGTTGACTGCAGTTTGAGTCCCGGACCTAGTGGCTTAAATTCACACTGGGTGCGTGTGTGTGCGTGTGCCCAAGATCCCGAGAGGAGAATGGAGGAGAAGGGATTGCGGTGTGGCCATCCCCCCTGAGAGGGTCATTTCTTGCTTTCTGTCTCTCTGTCTGGTGAGCACACACCCTATGGCAAAAACCTCTTTAAATAAATAAATAAATAGAGAAACCATGACCCCTTCCCATTCATTGACCAAGCCTCTTGTTTTTTATGGACTCTCCACCCTCCTGCTGGATCTGGCCCTTACAAGTCAATCCTATGAGTTTATTATTTTGGAAAAGTTTACATATTTATTTCTTCCCCATGCAAAAGAGACTTGGAGAGACAGGAACACAGAGACGGTATCCTCAGCAGGGTCTTCTCACCTGATCCTCCCCAACAGGGTCTTCACACCTGATCACTCCCAGCGACAGCCAGTGACCACCCCCACCCCGCCTGCCCCAGCACCCCCCACCCTACCTGCAACACTGCATTCCCTCAACGCTCCCAGGTAGGTCAGCCTGACAGATCCCATTGTCCCTGTGTGCCACCATCGAGTCCCAGGCCTAGGAGTTGTTTTGTCCCCGTTGGCTGATGAAGGCCCCGAGGTGGTAGGGCCAGTTCACAGTTCCAGTTCCATGTAAAAGCAGCACCCACACCTCTAGACAAAGTGCTACCTTCAGACCAGCCGGGACTTGAACACTTTAACGCCTTTTGACGTTTTCCTTCCTGTGAGGCAAAACAGAACCCAGGTGAGGTCAGCCTTCGTGACATACCCAGCGTCTCTGCAGAGCAGGCTGCGACTTCACCGCATGCTCTCGGCCTAACCAGGGGCTCCGCTACCCTCGACAGCTTGAAACCCAGCCCCGCATCAGCCCGGGATGCTAGTATGGCCTCAGAACGTCACTGCCAGCCTCCCTCTGAGCTACGAGGGGATCAAGAGGGGACATTCTCGGATCCCCAGGTCTTCCCACCTATGAACAGGTTTTCCCTGGACCAAAGTCTGGGGAATCGTGACCGAGAATAAACCAGTGTGCAAGCGTGGAGGTCAGCGACTCCAGGGCAAGTGGAGCAGGAGTCGGGGGACACAGCCCTGGAGGAGCCCAGGTTCCAGAGAGCCACAGAAGTTACCTGGCGTTTCTCCCTGGGTCTCAGTGTCACCTGCTGGCATCCATGCAATGGGTATAATTCTTGTTCCCAACTACCTTCCACTGCCCTCCCTAGAAATATGGCAAACATAAAACAGATACAGATTTTAATTTTGTTTTCTTCATGATAAAGTACAGGTATGTGAGTGAGGAGTTAGGGGGGCAGAGAGAGGAGAACCCCCCATAGATTCCAATCATGCCACGATTCCCTTCCACCAGCCCTCAAGCCTGCCCGCATTTGGGCACTCACGCGTGCATCTGGCCTAAAACGGATTTTTGATTTTTCTGCTTGTTTTTGCCACAGGTTGTGTGCATTCATTGGAGAGACAGAGGAAAAGTGAGAAATAACCCTCCCAGGGGTATGGCCACGCCACAGTCCCTTTTTCTTCATTCTCCTCTCGGGTGATTTTTTTTAAAGAATTATTTTATTTAACTTTATGTATTAACTTATTTACTTGCTTATTTATTTTTAATTTGCTCAGAGAGAGAGAGTAGAAAAGCAAACCACCAGGTCCAGGACTCGAACCACAGTCGGCCATGTGGGAGTCCAGCGCCTTTAAGCACCACACCACCTGCGGGTCTAACGGGTGATTTTCAAGCTGCCAGGTCCGGGACTCGAACCATGGCTAACCATGTAGAAATTTAGCACCTTCACCACTACACCACCAGCTGGTTTTGTCGTTTTTCTTATTTTAATTCTTGGGAAAACTCCATTCTCCAGGGGTGTTTTCATTTTCCAGACCCCTGTCTTTTGCTTCCTGTCCTCCTTGTCTTCTGCCTAAGAGACAAGGTTCTGGAGAGAATGCAAAGAACATAAAAATGTTTCCGGAGGCGTTGTAGCGTAGCATTTCAGCGCAATGCATTGGGAGTCAAGTCCCACATGACTAACAAATCCCAGCCTCTGAGGCTTAGAGAGCATGCTGGACTTGTGTGTGCATGCCCAAGTCCTGCCGGGATGGAGAAACGAAGGGAAAGGGACCCTGATGGGGCCACGTGCTAGTGGGTGGTGCTTCTCTCTCCCCCCACCCTCTCTCTCTCTCTCTCTGGTGAGTGCATGCGCCCAAAATAAAATAAATTAATTAAAATAGTAAGAAAATAAAAATAACAATGATGTAATTATTGAGACCAGCAGATGGCAAAGTGGTTACATCGCTGGACTACTGTGGTTCGAGTCCTGGACCCGGTAGCTTAAAACTCACACTAGGCACCTGTGTGTGCATGCCTAAAATCCAGAGAGGATGGGACCAGCAGGTGGTGGGGTGGTTAAGGCATTGGACACTCCCACATGGCTGACCATGTTTCAAGTTTTGAACCTGGTGGCTTGCTTTCTCTCTCTTCCTCTCTCTCTCTCTCTCATTGTGTGTGTGTGTGTGTGTGTGTGTGTGTGTGTGTGTGTGTGTGGTCAAATTTAAAAATGAGTGAATAAATAAAATAAAATAAATAATTCTTAAAAAAAAAAAA